TTTTTCTCCTTCCAATAAGGAAGGTGGTTGCTTTACAAATAGACAAACAAACACAAATGTTTTGCTGTTTACAATTACAAACAACCCCCAGTCCAGAACTTAAAGTGACAGCACCTTTTTTGGGACTTCCTTAGTTAACACTTTGCACAATACTAAACTTTTCTGTTTTAGTTCTATTTTTGGACAATATTTATACTCCAATTGTCCTAGAACATTGTGTTTCAACTGAGCCATTTTTCTGGGCCTTTTCAGAATATCCCAAACCCCATGTTCTCTCCAGGGAGAACATTTCAAGCTTATCTTTTCTCCAAGACAAACCTCAAAGGCAGAACTCCTCTCTCTATGAGGCAAGTGTGATTTAGCAGAAGGTAGAAGGAAAGAGGGTGAGTAGGTCTTCTTTTCTACTGGCTGGCTGGTTGGGAAGGGTCCTTTTCTGAATCCCCCTCCAATTCAGCATTGCTGATACCATTCATTATCTCCTGTAGTGTCTACAGCATTGGTATTCTAAAGGAGCAAACTAGAATCTAATGAGCTTATTGTGCATAAGATTTTAATGATGTATTTAAAGCTAATTTATTCAGGTTCCACATTCTCAGTCCTGAGGCTAAAATGATTCTGTTAAAAAAAAAAAATCCTATAGAGTTCTATAATACAAAACTCAACGTAAGAAAATATTAAATGGCTTAAGAAGAGCTTTCTAAATCCTGGCTTCTAATGAGCTAGATATTATAAGTTGGTCTAACCATAACAGTTGATAATTATTGATTCCCCTCTGATGATAAGCTTGGAAAGGTATCAGAGTGCCACTTAAGAATATTAATCTTTTAACAAATGCTGGCAATTTGGCCTTACCCCCCTCTTCAACTTGTGGTTAAATAGTTTTTTTTAAAAAATAGACGATTTATAAGGAAAAAAATATATAAACACTCTTTAAGCAATTTGGCTATAAGCATTACACCACTGAAAAACTCCACAAGAAATAGTAAAATATTTTAAATGGACATACACTTTTTCATTTTCACATGATAAGCTAGGGGTTTTTTTTTTCTTTGTTTTGGTATTGGATTTTACTTATAAGTTTATTGCTTCAGTGTCTTCTTGTCCTTTCTTAGATTATAATTGTAAAATAGAGGTGCTGTCCCTAATTTTGTTACAAGGCAACATTGTATTTTTGAGAACTAAGAATGAAATAGATAGGGCCACTGTTACTTCAGCAGCCTTAGAGAGACGATGGCTAGGACAAAAGTCCAACGTGCACCACGATGCACAAAAGAATAATTCTCCTGGCTCATTCAGGACACTTTGGCTTGGAGGATGAGATAGAAAATTCTTAAGTAGCGTAGCTGCTGCCTCACATCTGTTGCATAATATAACATTTTAAAAAAACATGCTATGAATAAAGGGATGAGTATAAACTGGCTCTTCTCCTTGGTATTCTCGTAGCAGGCTTCATCTAGGCTGATGTGAGAAACACGTCTTTGCTATGCTACTGAGGAACGCACGCAAATGTACCTGGTGCAAAGATTCTGTAAAGTATTTTAAATGATGCAGCTCAGAGCCTTAGAGGAAGGGTAGGAGAGCTGGAAAGGGGAGAGCAAAGGCAATTGTGAGGACAGGGAGGAGGTCTGAAAGAGAACAAGAGTAATGGAAAGGGATCAAAAAAGCTAAAGTGCAATTTTAAAATATAAATTATTTTAAAAGCAGGAGATTCTAAATTGCTACTGTTCGCATAGGCACGGTTTTATTCAAATTTAAATGGGTTGTTTCCTTTTCCTTCTCAGATATACTGCATAATGGAGCTTGAGCGGCTTAAAGCTACTGCACATTGTTTTGGGAAGGGACAAAAAGGGCACTGAGGAAGCTGAATAGTGCAAGGCATTCTGGGAAATTGGGGTGGGGTGGAGAGAAGCAGAGAAGAAGTCGTTTTTACACTTTTACAAGAAAGCTGTTCCAGTTATAGTTACTGATTCCCTTTAGCTGAACTCTGCTTCCTAAAGGAAAGAGCTTACTTTAAAAATGAAAAAAAGAAATAAATGTTTAAAAAAACTATTCAGAACATAGATTAAAAAATAACTCACAGAGCAATAAAAATCCTTGAAACTTCTATGCACAGAGATCTAAGCAAACATTTCCACCAAATGATGGAGAATAGCCATTTGAAACCCTGAAAAATGAAGATACACACAACTAGAGTAGTTTATTATGAACTAATACTTTAAAAACAAGTAGATCCTACAGAAGAATACTGTTCAAATGGAATGTTTAAAAATAACATTTATTAATAAATATCTTATAAAATTCTAAATTAATAGATTCTTGTTCAAATTTTGCTTTGGTCCTTGAATTCCACTGTATACACACATACATACATATATAGTTTCTTAGATGGTTTTTATTAACCAGAAATAAGCACATTCTATCCTAACTGGATGGCTAGTTTTATAGCAGTTACTGATGCTTAAAACCCCCCAGCCAAAGGCTGGTTTTTTACTGCAGCTGGTTTAAGATTTTAATGACAAACTCAACTAACACACTAGAATATTCTTAACTAACAGGCAACAACCACCTGAACATTCACCATTGACGCCCCTCTATTCAGAACATGCGCTGCATTGGATTTCATTGACCGGATAGGCTCCAAAGAGCATCTGCTCCGAGTAAGTCACCCTAATTATAACAACGCATGCAGTGACAGCACACACACTGCTCATCTCCCACAGGCCGTGTTAAGACTGTGACTTGCATACACTGATGTGGAGGTAGGAGAGGGATGAATGGGAGTGTAAAGGGAAGGCATTCGACCTAACACCAGCCTTTAAAATGAGTACATTCATCCATGGCTAGGATTTTCACCATACCTGTCCCGGCAGACGCTAAGAAATGTCTTAAGGAGAAACAATTAAGATGTGGATGCCTCAATTTAGGTGAGGAGTCACCTGGTAGATATGCTATCAGGTGTACCTATCTAAGTTGTTAACAAGTAAGGCAGGGGAGGCACTGTAGAAGTTTCCAGGTAGGCCGGCAGTGACTTCGGAGGCAGATCCTACTGATAAAAAAACCACACGTGAAGGAGGAGAGGCAGTGCTAAGGGCCCCAATCTCCTCAGAATGGGTGCTGTGAAGGTCATTACAACTGATTTGTGAAAATACAGATGGATGACCCAGTAATTGAGTGGGACAGGAGAATGGGGTAGAAAGATATTTTCCGAGATTGGAAAAAGAGTAGGGCAAGAAGGAGGGGTTTTCAGGTAGACTGATTATTCTACGGTCTGGTGAAGTCTGGGCCTTCAAGTGAAATACTTAATATTGATAAGCCAAGCATTGCATTTGACCAATGAGCCTTTCAGTTTGGGATTTCAAGAAGCTCTGACAACTAGTTGGCATCTTCCATTGACTGTATTTCCACACTGCTAATGAATATACCTAAGGGCCTGAGGATAACAAGAAGACAGTTTATTCTAATTATACGTTGAGGCCCGTTTGCTAACGTGTGTGGTTGGTTTGCCTACTTAGCATAAAAAACAGACATAATTGAGCTATATATAATGCACATCAGTCAAACTGTCAAGTTGCTGAATTAAGAAAACTCAGGCAAGTTCTTAACTGCAGAGGCTTTCGGTTTAACAACTAAATATTTCAATCAAGAGGTGGAACAGAAGTAAACCATAATTTTAGTGACAGCCCACTCCCTGGACATTGATATTACCAATGGATTTTTTAAAAATCACATTTCATTAAGTGCTATGCATGCAGTAAAGAAAGAAAAGTTTTTGTTTACTTAAAGCAAAAAATTAAACAAAAAATTTTAAAAACTCAAACAAACATTTCAATGAGTTTTTTTTTTTCCTTTTTAGGGGGACACATAGATGGTCTTAAAGGAGTTTTGAAAAAATTATTTTTGATTTCAAAATAGAGATTAGAATGTTAACTTATTTTTTAGCTAAATCTTAAATATTCTTAGGAAGCCAGTTAGGTTAAACCATTCAGCTGTTACTGCTGGGATTCAAAACAAAACAAAACAAAACAAAACAACTATGAATTCAGTATTTAAAATACTTAAAAATGATATGTTTGTCTAAAATATAACAGAAAATCCTTTTCATTTGCATTTTTTCCTTTTTTTCTCTTTTCTTTTTTTTTGCTTTTGTTTTGAATTTTAGATCATATATCCAAGTTATGAGTTTCAATGGATACTCAAAAACTTTCTTTTGAAAGCACTGCATACAGGAAAAGATTGTTGATAAATATTGATTTAAAAAGTAAGTTATTAGATAAAACTGAAACTAGTTATAAAAATCATGCTTCGCGACCCTCATATTTCTTTTCTCCAAAATAGATTCTTACACTATAGTTAGAGAAAAAAAAACACATCCTTCCCTTTTCTGAACTCTTATAAAAGCTACACCTTTTGTAAAATACTATTCTTTTAAATCCCATGAAAACACACACACACACACACACACACACACACACACACTCACACACTCATGTTAGGAGGTCAAGCATTCAAATGGAGATGAAACACCAGCACCTGTCTAGACTGCTAGAGAGAAACATTAGCCCCTGTTATTTGTGGGATGTGATATGAAAACATTAGCACAGTAGAATGGCTTGTTTCAAGGAGGCACAACTGTGGTTGGGGACTATCTGCTTTCCATAATGGGCAAGTCCGCGAAAGCTGTTGAAAATATAAATCAGAATTGCTTAGAAGAGTGGAGTAGCCATATCCACGGGATTCTTTCAGCAGCCAAAGAGTGCGTTAACTGTTGTAGGAAGGCTGAACGCACCCCTATGGAAACATTAGGTTTTCTTTCTCTCTTGTTTGTCCAGTAGTTCGTCTACTTTTACCCACCGGAACAGCAAAGCTGGTTCCATAGGCTTAAGAAAAAAAAAAAAAAAAAAAATTTAAAAAAAAAACAGAAAAGTCAGAGCTTGTCTTCCTCAGCAAAAAAAAGAGGATGATTAGCATGGATGTTAGCTCAGGGCTGATCTCCATAAAAAAAAAAAAAAAAAAAAATCTTAGGCTGTTAGCAGCTGATGATTGAACAACGTAATCTGTGTAGTGAATAGAGCCCTTCTGAATTATTATATAGTACGTGGATTTTCAACATTATAGACAGGCCATATAAATCCAGTTGTAATTCGAGGGTGTGATGTTATAGCCCGCATCATAATTTGGACTTTCACAATCGAGGCTTACAAAGTTCCCCTCCCTAGTGTCTCCACAGCTGGCCTTCACCAGTGCTTCACTGATGGCTAAGCCAACTTTTATTTGCTTGATTATTAGAAACATTAAATCAGGCACATTCAACATCTCCTGGTTACTATTTTATAAAAAGCAAGAGTTGAATGAACTCCAGCTGTGGGTCACGGGCAAGGGAAGCAATGGCTAGATCCACATTTTTGAGGTTTGCTTTTTTTTTCTTTAAACATTATTTTCTTCTTTACATGCAATGTTAAAGCGGGAAAAGAATAAAACAGAAGAAAGTAAAAATGAAGTAAACAGGGAGCCCAGGAAAAAGTCGAAATGGAGAGGAAAATTGGGCATCGAGGAAGTGGACCAAAGGAGGAGGAGAGGTGTTGAGATGCTTGGTGGTTTTATTTGGACGTCAATGGATCTTATAATTTTTTATAGTAAGGGAAAAAGTTGTGGAAAAGGCTCTGTATTTATCTGGGATTCTGGTGACATCACAGCGCAAACTCAACATGTCTCATGATGTCCTCAGACTTCTCACCCAGCGACCTTGCATCCGTTTACTCGACATCTACGTATGCCTCATTTTGGCTAAAAGCTGCGGTTTAACAAGATTCAATGTTTCAGGCAAAGGGTTGGACTGATAAAAATGAAACCATGACTATATACAGAAAGAGTTCAGTTTATAAACAAGTAACTGGTACCAGAAAATTGGAGAAAAGCACCAAAGCATTTCCCAAGCTGATAGATATTAATTGCATAACTCCCTTTTTTCTTATATAACTAAGTATAAAAGACAACATTTCCATAATAACTATAAAAATGAAAGCCAGTCTTTGAAGGGCTGAGGAGTCTTCCAGGTCTGAGTTAATTCTAAAAATGCCCTTAAAAGAAAGGACGCATGATATGCGACAGCTCTTCTTGGAGGCAAGGTCTGACCGGTGGATTTTAGAGAATGGGATTCAGGTCTGTTCTGTGGGTGGTGAGCTGACTGAGGGTGGAGCTTCCTACCACCTCGCTGACTGCCGAGGAAGTAGTGATGGTGTTATGCTGGATGACTTGCTGCTGAGAGCAAGCTGGGACAGGGCTTGCAGGAGGACTGCTCTCCGGACCTAGGAAAAAACACACACGCACACACACCAATATAGCTCTTTCTTGGGTAGACTTGTGGACCACTGAGAAAAATAGTACTAAACGTTTACTAGAAATAGAAGAATTTTACACATTTTCTCCTGGAGGTTATTTTCAAAACTTAATTTTAAACTGTATCACTAAGCTATGCCTTCCCAGTTTATAACTACAAGCAAAGCCATGCTTTCTATATCAGTGAAATGGTTTGATGTGTTGGAGTCTTGGTACGTGAACTTCCCCATCTTGTACTTTCAAATATATCAAATGTGGAAAAATACTCACATGTGGTGGGAGAATCTGTGTTGCTCAATCTAAAAAATTATTTGAAAATAAATTGACCTTCAGCCATGAATCCTTGCTCCTCCCGCCATCCCCTACGCAACTAGCATTTAATCGATTGACACTCCAGGCGCAGAAATTGGGGTCTAGAGAAAGGGGTCCACTTTACGTACTGGTAAACTGAGATAAGATCACTAGCTTTTCAGGCCAGTGAATAACATGCGACATATCCTGAGGCACTGGATGGGATTCACCCAATGCCTGTTTCCCATCCCGAGGATTTTTCTGGAAGACTGCTAGACCACAATTGGGCTCCAGTAGGCCATTTTCCTATTGGCTACAGATTTTACAATGTAAAATGCCAGGGAAAGTCTAGCCAGAAATTATCAGGAGGTGGTGGGCATGGTGATGGAGGGGTCAGAAAAGAAGGATTCCCCCTGGTGCAGTAGTCGGGCAGCCACTCAAGCATTCTAGCATGATATCTGCCCGGGTGTGCAATCTACATTTTACTTATGCTCTTTCAGTAAAATCCAATGCAAAATTAGTGGCAAAAAATTGGACTAAAAAAAGCAAAAAAGTCAATAACTTACTTAGATATCCTTGTGATTCTTTCTGCATGGCTGTTATTGGGCAGTCTTTATGCGTTAACAACAACTGTTTCAGCTGTGCCACCTCGTTTTTCAACATGGACACTTCGTTCTGGAAAGAGACATATCAAAGCCATGTTGAGAAGACCAGAGAATACAAACCTAAGGTCCCGTGCACCTTCAACAATCAAACTGGCAAACTTTTCTGTTCTGTCCGAATGATATTAAGAATATTATTTAACGGGATTCACCTGAAAATTTGTAGCTTGCCTTCAGTTTGGCCCTCACATTTACCAGGGGCTTTCTGAAGAGACTAGGTTTTAATTTAAGAGCTGAATGCTATTAGAAGTCCAGAGCACACCCTTTAGGTGGCGGACTCTGGAGCCAGGTTACCTGTGTGGGAATCTCCACGCTACACTTACTGGGTGACTCTTGGCAGGTAACTAACCCAGCCGAGCTCCAGCAAACTTGTTTATAAAATGGGGATAAAAATAGTACAGTTTTTTTGAGTTGTTGTGAGGATTAAGTGAGGTAATAGATGTAAAAGACTCAGAACAGTGCCTAGTACATACTAAGCCCTCAATAAATTCAGCTATCATAATAATCATCTTCACGCTATCTTACAAGCTCAAGTTGACATTGAATATGAGGAGAAGGTGAATGTGAGGCAGGCACTGGAAAGAAGTGTGTGGCAGGAACAGTGGCTTCAAACTGAAATGCCCTCAGCAGAAGCTGACTAATCTCCGATCAGCTTTCCCAAAAGAAAGTTCCAAATGGGCTCTAGTTCAACAGAGCACGTCCCCCTGCTTGATGCCCACTTGGCAGAAGGCCTGGAAGCATATGGAGCAAATGTCAGTCCGCTACTGGTGGGACGAGGTCAGCCCAGGGAGGCAAGGGGCAATGAAGTTTTGGGGCATGATGGAATTAATTTGATTGGTTCATTAACGAGTTTGGCTAGTTTTAGTCTCTTTTCCCCATCCATTATCAGGGTGTTGTGGATTGTGTGTGTTTTTTTGCTATTTACTTAGATAAGTGCCTCAAATCTTTCTGTAGGAATTCACAAAAACAGGTTCGTAGCTTTGTAGAATGATGTACCTGGCACTGTTGTCTACAAATATAAATGTAAATAGATGGTTAGTTCCAAGGCGTTTCCACTTGATAAAAATAAAATATGAACATAGCATCATCTCAAATAAGCCATTTTACAGTCGTAATAAATAATACCCTCTCTCTGGTCAGTGTTCATTTGTGGCTGCCTGGCATTACATTCCAAAGGTAGGAGACTTTTAACAAAAAAGCAGACAGAAAATGGGGTTTTAACATTGCTGTCATTAAATCGTAGCTACACTTTCAATATGAACTTGGCTTTTCAGGCATGTATTTATCACCTAGAAAAGTAAGTTTGGGATTCTAGAAGTTAATTAAAAAAATTTTTTTTAGACTTGTTTTAAAGAATACCTCCCATTTCCAAATTCATTTGCAAAATACATTATAAGCAATCAAATGTTGAGTAACATAAATAACAAAGTAATAAAAATCTCATCTACAAGAGCTTTTCTCTTTCTCCTCCAAACTTTACCAAATAAAAATTCTTATCTGAGAAATTAGCATTAATGATGAATAAATCACTTAATTGCACAGGAAAATTGCTCTTAAAACTGAGAATATTCAGGAAGGCAAATTGCACCTCCCTCCAAACGAGTGTGATTGATAAGGGGCCCTGTCAAAGCCAAAAGTGACCCATGTCAATTCTGGGGTCAGTGGGACAACTTTATTTACAGGACAATTTATTTTAGCCTTAAATACTAATTCTTTCCTCTCTGATTTTATGCTCATTTAAATTCAGACAGCCTTCTTTGCTTTTTCCAGCTGCCCCTCTGCTTGAAATAGCATGTGTAAAAGAAAGTTACTCTCAGACCATTAAATAGAAGGCAACCCCTGGCTAAAAACAAAACAAACAAAAACAAAACAAAAAAGGAAGAAAAGAAAACTAAGTATGACTACTATATATTTTTTTGGCCTCAAAATGAAAGGTCATATTATTTGCATTTGGACCCTAGACATAACACTCGTTTGAAATCACAACTGCGAGACACCTGCACGCAAGGAGAAACTCAGCTGCAGATAATGCAGACAGTGGTTCTTAGAAAATGGAGTCCAGCTCCAATTTTTAGTGAATCCAGCCATGCTTTTCTACTGTGACCTAGGAAACAAGAAGTAAGTAAAGTATTTAAAACAAAACAAAACAAAACAGGATTCTCTTGCTTTCTTATACTTCTGGAAGAAAAAAAACTGCTACTTGGTGGCCATCTTGGAGAAGTTGATTTTAGTCTCCATTTCTTCCTCCACTATGTCCTGGGCAGTCACACCTTTTCTAGGCAGTGTTCGATCTCCCAGGCACAAAGCGTTCATCAGGCACAAAGCATTCATTGCCCCTTCCTTAAGAAAACACTCTGAATTCCGTTCTTTGGGTTTCTACAATTGCAAGGAGCTAACTGCCTACGATACTTGGCACACCCCAAACCATTTCACAATAAACCTTTTGCCTCCATGAGAGGCCACAATAAAACAGCACCAATCACCACTATGAACAGCGTATGTGGTGTCCCAGTCTACGACCAAAGCCCCATACTAAAGAGATGACTTTAGTGGCATTTTTGTCTACAGACAGCAAAGCACTTTATTAATAAACCAATACGTTGTAAGTATAGAAACTGAGGCCTCAGGATTTGTGAGGGTCTGTAAAAATGTAGGAACCTGGAGAGTACAGTGACAACTAACATCATGTAAAGATAAATGTGAATATGGACATATTTCTTAACATAATGTGTTAGTCATTATGCTATTTAGCTGTGTTACGGTTGGAAAATGAATGCCAATTAATATTCTCTGTAGAGAATAATCAGCCTCTTGTTTAGATCATACACACATAACTATGATGCTGATAAGGACTAAATAAAAGTCTAATGGCCATAGAAGCAACAGAAATCCATGGGGCAGATTCCAGAAGAAAAAGGAACTCTCAAGTGGGGGTTGAGAATAATAGGGTTTGTCTTCCCAAATTGCCACAACAACCTAGTATAAAACGAGATGGTTGGACTAGTTCTCTAGTTCCTTTCAGCAAGATAGTTTTTTATTCTATGACTGTTTCTGTGTTGCCTTCTATTGAGAAAGCTAATTACCTAATAATCTAATGAAGGACTGGATTTTGATTTTTTATTCATTAGTTAACTACTGTTGGTATTCTCAAATATGCTTATATTTCAAGTCTTATATTTCCTAAGGGAGCCAGTTCTAGTACCTCCTGTGCTTTCAAATCATATCAGTGCAGATTCCAATACAACATTTATAGTTTTATTTTAGCTTGAAATTTTGTGTCCATATTGTTGAGAGTCTATGGAGCCTTCATCAGATTCTGTAAGGGAGCCTTTGGGTCAAGAAAGGTCGAGAATCGCTGCCCTAGAGAAAGCAGTGAATTGTGGGCTGTGCACATGCGTAATCATCTTAGAGATTCATATTGATAGACTGCCTGATGCAGGAAATGCACAAATACTAGACTATGTTTTAAATAAAAATCCTTTTCAAGAAACATAAATAGAATCGCCTTGAATTCATTTTGGAAGCAACAATCGGATAGCAAATGTTTCAAAATAAGTGAAAGAAATCAAACGTTCCCTGCAGCTCTGGTAGGGAATTAGAAATCAGGACTTCTGGCGGCATTTTCTTACTCTGAATTACCTTGCTTTATGAATTGAGGCAAATCTCCAATTTTTTACTCCCCTGTGTAGATTATATAATAATAGTTCTAGGTCTTCATATAAAAGTACTTTGCAAAAGCAAAGTATTAATGAGCAGTATTGATTCTCATTCTGAAATCAGCCCTTCATTTTTTCATTTTTCTAAACTAGTTTGGGTTTGCCATTTAAATAGGGACTGTGGGAGGGTAGATGCAGTTGGATTAATCTGTTCCTAAACCCATAGGTTGCCTTGGGATGAAGTAGCACCCCTCTAGAGACATTCAATACTATAATAACAGACTTTAACAGGCACTCCAAGAGGTCCCTAATAGCTACATTTGCAGTTTTTGGCTTTGGAGATGTCGTGTTGTTAATATGATAAACCCAGAATGCTTTTTGATGCAAACAGTAGTCTGTGCCAAAAAAATAATTATCAAAATGGGCCCTGCACTATAGCCCCTCCCCCACTTTTTTTTGGTAGATTAGCTGAGGCCAGGTTTGGTTCATTCTAAAACAAAGGACTTTCAATTTGTAAAGCGACAGTTCCCATCTGGCCTATTCTCTTGCCAAGTCCCAAACCTGGGCTCATGTGTCTAAAATTTCAGCAGCAACTTAGGCCATGTGTCTTTGCACTAGAAAAGAAAAGCAATAATTTCCATGGGTGATCAGATGATTTCCATATCATCTACCGAACACAAACAATCCACTGAGTACCACCTCAGCAGTTGATGAATCTAGAGCTGATCTTAGCCACTCTGTCAGAGAAAAGAATGTGGATTCCTTTAGTTTAAGAACTTTCTAGAATGAAAGATCACAGGGCAGTGGGTTAGGTCAAGAGAAGACTTGCTTGGGTCCTCATCCTGCTACTCTGCTACTTGCTGGCTCTGTGACTTCCAGGAAGTCTCCTCATGTCCCCCGAGCCTCAGTTTCTCCCTGTATAAAATGTCAGATCATGTGGTTTCTAAATTTCCCCCAATTCCTATACCTCTGTTGACCTCTTGGGTAGAGATTTGTTGTGAGACTAGGAAATGAAGTCTGAGAGTTTGATTTTGTTTTCTTAGGTCTGATTTTTCCAATCTGAAACTCTGCAGTCTAACTAGAAGTTTCTATGCTGAAAAACAACTCAAAAGTGGCAGCTGGCCATCCAGACCTTGGATATTCCATTTGGCTGGAGTTTGTTTGCTTAGCACCTTCCATTTCTGTTTACTTAAAATTTGGCTCATTGGACCAGCCTCAAGAGAGACACCTTTTTCTTTTGACAAAGGTCCAGTGAGAGGGAAAGGGTCATTCAAAGGTAGCAGAATGTGCATATCCTATCCAGCATCACAAGGCACGATGCAGAGCACTCAGCATCACAGAAAACATGGAACCCTTGTGGTTTCTGTCCCTCTGAAGCAAAGCAAGGGTTGGAAAACACCAACAATTCAGTCTTTTCAGAGACCGTCCCTTCCTCTGGCACTGCTTTAAGAACCATAAATATCGGTGCCTGTTGAATGGCCCCAATAGGATTTTTTTTCTGATTTTCAGGGGCTAGAATTCTAGTACCTCTTTTCCTTAGCCATTTTGGCTCTAAAGAAACGTGAAAATTAATGAATGGATTAGGGTCTTGTAAAGGGTAAATTTACCTCATGTGTTTTGTAAAAGCGATAGTACATATGCATATACCAAGTAATGAACACCTCTGATCTCAAAGTAAACCAGCATCTTTACAGTTCCCGGCTCTCTGCTATGAATCCTCCATGTTTTCATGCTCTAGGACTGTAGTCAATGTGCTGGAGTAATTCTGCAAGGACTCATTTTAGTTAAAACTGATTTAAGCATTTGTTGGTATCCGATATGTGCCAGCTGACTCCTGGCTCCTTCACGGCTCTTTCATCTGAGGCAGTGGTTCTCAAACAGTGATGATCGTGGACCGACAGGGGACATTTGGCAATGTCTGGAGACTTTGATTGTGACAACTTGGGGGTGAGGTAGAGGGTGTGACTGATATCTAGTAAGTAAGAGGTCAAGGATACTGCTAAATACCTACAATGAACAGGATACAACAAAGAATTATTGAGCCTGAAAGTTAATAGTGCCAAGATTGAGAAAACCTGTACATTTTCACAATCCTCTGGCAAACCTCAGAACTGGTAGCAAATTCCAGAGATTCCCACACTTCAGTCAATGCAGAACCACTGCTACAATATTTGCTAGGTCCACATACACCAGAACTTTTATTTACTTAACGTGTTTGTACAAGTTAACTCATTTTTTAATGATTTAATCTCATCCTTACCAATAGTATTTGTGAAATTGAAGGTTTGATGTTCCAGTTACATTTTTCAATACACATAAAAATATGATTACTATTAATATTAAAAGTGCTTATTTATGTCCCACCAAATGCTTCTCACATACTACTGTGCCTGCCAGATTCTAGAGTTAAAGACTTTCAAGTTGGAGTGATTTTTGAGGTGTGTGAGTCCAGCCATCCCATTGTGGCTTGACTCCCTTCAATCACATCCTTGCCAAGTGGTCAGGCAGCCAGTTCTTGGACACTCCAGAGATGGGGAACTCATTCATTTAGTCAACAAACAGATATTGAGTGTAGACATTCAAGAACTCACTGTGCAGTAGACATTATACTAGAAACTGGGGGTAGGTAGCGGGGGGGAGAGGGTAATAAGACACAGCCCAAACCTCCTGTAGCATACAAGCTAGTGGGAGGAATTATTATCTTATTTCCACCATATCTGCTATATATGTTTCCCAGTTTCTTTCTAATGTCTACCAACAAAAGAGTGATAAATTTAGGGGAAAAAGTGAACATCCATAAATTATGACATTCAGTCCCTGTATATCCCAAACTTTCTTTGTATAATTTCAATTTGTACACTGGACGCCCCAGGACCATTTCCATTTAATGGAATTGAATATACAGAGGCTTTGGGGGTTTGGTACCCTAATTGCTCCTTTCTAAGGATGCACAGAGAACCAGGTGGGGGTAGGTGACGGTGACCTATGAACTAATGAGGTGCAGATTCTCTCTATTTTGGGCAATCTTTCCTTCCTTCCCTCTACTGTTCATCCATTCTCTCTGCTCCTGGAAGCACTGGGCTATAATCCACAACTCTTACTGCTATCTCTGGACTGCTTGTCACATACCCATTTAGTTGCTTTTTTTTCTGCTGGTGAACAGTACACTCCCTTTTGTGTCAGAACACAAAGTGATGCCCTGAACTGCATCATTTGTATGGCAGGAAGTCTGCTGGAGAAGCCCTGGGTACTTGAGTTTCCTTCCCTTCTCTCAAACACTCCCAGAAGTGGCCTTGTTATAAAATGTCCTTCATTGAGCCACCCATGAAAAGCAAAAATCATGCAAAATTCAAATCTTGAGTTTGAGAATGAGACGGAAACATTCCTTTTCTTAAAGAGCAAAATAATAACTATAAACCTTCCTTTCCTCCATTAAACAAAAATATAGATAACCTAGTGTAAGTTGAAGCAACCTCCTCACCCAGTGAATATAAAGGGCTGCCTTTCAGTTAAAGATTTATGATGTGCCAGGCACTGGAAAAACTGCTTTGGAGACATCAGTTCATTTATTCCTCTCAACAACTCTATGAGGATATTATTCCCATTTTATAGATGATAAAACTGAGAGCCAGAGAAGTTAAACACAAGTCATTGCTGAACAGGAGTTTGAACCTCTGTCTGACCAAAGCCTGTGCTCCCAGCTCTATAATATAGTGGGGCAGGTTTTCCCTCCTCAGAGCTTTATAGGCAGATTGATTTAAAACTGGATGGTTATTTTGTTTTGTAGAGTGTCCCAGAATTAATAAAGCTTGAGGAGGAAGGCTGCAGTTGCTCTGTGGGCTAACGTGTGGTATTACTGCTTAGGTCAACAAGTGCCTGCTGGGACAGGAAATGCCAACTGTACACAGCGCCTTTGAGTCCTGAGGAAAGAGACAGTGGCCTGCACCTGAAGCTGCATGTTTGTCTGGGTGAGTTCTTCTGCTTTCTTTTCCAGTGACATCACCCAGACCTTCCTCTTCTGTCTGCAACGGGTGGCGGCTGCCCGGTTCCGTTCCAGAAATTTCCGCCGCCTCTCGTCGGGATCCTCATCCACCACCCTTCGCCGGCGCCCCCCTGTGGGCTGGGGCGGCTGTATTGTCTGGGTTGGCTGCATCTGTTGTGTCGCTGGTGAAACCTGCTGGGAATGAGAGGGAGGAGGTGATGGGGAGAGGGAAGGAACATGTTGGGTGAGGGAAGAAACCCAAGCTGGTGTCAAAATGCAAAGCACAGAGCCACTGGCTTTAGTAAGCATATCATACTTCTTTTCTAAGAATGAAATAAACAATGAAATCACGCTCATGAAAAGAAAAAGCGTCGCTGAGCTATCTTCTATGATATTTTGGCAAGATATAGGAATGACTTGTGAAAATAGAGTCAAATAGATTTTTTTCCCTGACAGGCATTTGACTGAATCATAGCAGAGGAAACATTTTTCCTCCTTCAGATGTTAAAAATATTTTACTTAAGGGAGAAGAGGATTGGGGGATGGGCACAAGGGGTGAAGGGACGCATTCATACGGTGACTGACAAACAATAATGTACAACTAAAAGTTCACAACGTTATAAACTAATTATGATATCAATCAAAAAAATTTTACTTAAGGTGCGCTTTAAAATTTTAAAGCATCAATATATGGCTACAGGTGAAAAAGAGAGGTCAGGGTTACTGTCACAATATTCATGAGTCTTCCGTCATCTGCAGAAAACTCCTTCCAGGCAGGTTGTGAGCTCCTTTCATTCTAATGGTTAAAACCCTAATTCCAGAACACACCCGCTGATACGTCATCGCCACTGTGACTCCTATCAAAAGAACCCTGGGAAGCCGGGAAAGCAGTTGAGATCCTGTCTTCACTATTTCACACATCTTAATGCAAAGGACTAGCTGGACCTGCAAACTCCAGTTGGGTCTGCCTGCTCCTCAGTGCTTTGAGGTGGAGGGAGTTCCAGGAGGCCTTTCTAGGTGCTTGGGAAGCAAGGCCTTTGAAAGGATGCAGTGGATGTCCGAAGCAGCACTGAGCCCCGTTACACACCCTGTCTGTGCGACAGGGAGGGATGGTTGTGCATCCCATATACTTACATTACAAGGAAATCCCAGGAGTGGCAGAGCACTTTATTAAAAAATGTTACTGTGCTTATCGATTCCTTGTAAGGTCTGCATGAGGCTCAGCAATATCTGAGGTTTTGGAGACTCCCACACATACAGCTTTATTTTCCTTCATGAGGCAGACACACAGCACCTAGTGAAATTTCTACGATGGACTCTTTACGTGTCTGGACACCTCAGGCTTTCCCTAATACACTTCACTCCTTCCCCTTTCTTCATTCTCAGTTCTCAATAAAGGGTGCCTTTTTTTTTTTTCCTCCTCTTATTTCTCAGTCACTCAGGCTTATGGCTGTAATATCTATAAAGTTGTTTTATAAGAGACATTTAACCCGCAGAAATAACAGGCAAAAAGTTTTTAAAATGAATCTCAGCAAGCTTTTCTACCACACTGCAACCCTGTGAGTGAAATCAATCAGAATGACTGTAATCGCACGAATAATGGCTACCGGTTGACATCAGCTGACTGACGGTGATATATTTCAATCCTAAACTCTTTCAAACCTTATATGACTAACTGTAAAAGAATCAGGCTCAGGATTGAGGGTGGACTGCATCTCAGTAATTTTATTTAAAGCAAAGACACTTTCTAAAACCGTTTGTTGGCGATTCCTTTCCTCCGGATCCAGAGGAGTAACAAAATAAATTGCCTAAGGTCCTACTCACCAGAGTGGCTGCTGCAGATATAATCCCGGTTATTGGCAAAGGTTTAGCACTCATCGTTTCAGATGCCAACTTCTTTTTTTTTTTTTTTTTTTTTTAAAAAATTTTATTTATTAATTTTTTTCCCCCAAAGCCCCAGTAGATAGTTGTATGTCATAGGTTCACATCCTTCTAGTTGCTGTACGTGGGACTCGGCCTCGCGTTGGACGGAGAAGTGGTGCCTTGGGGCGTGCCCGGGATCTGAACCCGGGCCGCCAGCATCAGAGCGCGCACACTTAACCGCTAAGCCACGGAGCCGGCCCCTCAGATGCCAACTTCTGAGCTGACTACCACAAAGCCAAGCATTAGGAGGGACTGTACTAACTCGGCTGTTTTTGCCTTCACCATTTCTTTTTGTGAATTAGTGATCTCTAATGGCCCTAGACAAGACTCTGAAGTAGGCAAAACTGGGTTTTAGTCTCCATTGCAGGGACCTCTCTTTCAATACTGTGTTCTCGCATCCTGACTTCAATCAACCTTTACCCGCTGACAGTATTCCCGTGCCTTAACCAAAGCAGTAAGTTCTGTGGTGGTTTCAGGCTCAGTTCAGGTTCAGAGATCAAGGTGTGGTTTGGTTAAGAGAAATTCCTGGTGGCCGAGGAGTGACACCAGGTCTCTGAAATCACATCCTTGTATGCAAGAGAATCACAAGAAGTCAGGAGAAACTGCAAATACAACTCTAAGACTGGAATTTGTGTTCCTGGTAATTATTGTTACTCATTTTATTTTTAAAATGGAATTATGTTGGCATAGGCACTCTGAAAATTTTGATCAAAAATAATGACTTGTGATTTCAAAAAGACAGAATTTATTCCAAGTCATCTTAGAATCTCAGAGTTGGAAGGACCTATTTCTATTTCTATTCCTACTGCTCTGATAATCATACACTTAAGCAACATGATAAGATCTCAGTAATCAGCCAAGTTAATACAATTTAAGAGTGGCATTTTGAATACTGTCTAAAAGATCTAACAAGACCAACCTGGACTCTTTCTTTTTAGTATAGAATAAAAAAGAAACTGTTTGTGCGGCTAATTATAATAGCAATTAACTAATTGCATATACAATTGGCTACTTACTGACTTGAAATGGAGGGCAATTGGCTAATGAACGGCTTTTATATTCAACGAACTGTTAAACTTGTCTGTGAAATAACTTGTCCACAAAGGCAACCAAAACTTGATGCTATCCTTTTCCTTAAAAAATAAGTATTTACACGTGTGAATCTATTTGCCTATCTTGGACCTTGTAGTTTTCTTTCTCCCTTCTAAATACATGTCCTGCTATGACATTTGACTAAAAAGGTGCTTTGCATAGCATTTTATTGCCAAACTACTTGCTAAACTTCTACCACATTACTTCGGTTTGGAATTAATCATGGTTACCACCTATCGAAAACTGTGCTGAGGGCTTTACAGACATTCTCTCATTTAATACTCATAAGAGTCTATTCTATTATTACCCATTTTGCAGATGGGAAAACTGAGGCTTAGGGAGTTTAATCGACTGACCACAGTCACACAGCAAGTCAGGTGGGAAAAGAACTAAAGTTTTCTTACTTCAAAGCCTGCACTCTTATTTGCTACGTAAAATACTTCTAAGAACCTTTGCAGACATAAGCTTACCTAATGAATAAGCTTATCTACTGAATAGATTAGAGAGCTGCTTGCAGATGACCTATTTTGTGGATGGCTGTCCGGGTTTGGTGTGTATTAGAGGAGGGAGTCCAAGAGGCAGATGATGGAGGAGATGGTGAATAAGTCTTATTTGGTGATCCCAAGCTTCCAACACCATTTTGACCTAGCTGGTTGGAACCTGGCAGTGTGGAATGGGTGGAGGGGACTGACAAAAGTCATCCTCCTTGAAGATCCAAAGTGTCTAGAGCTAGCCATGCTCCTAGACATACCCTTCATCCACTTACTAAAACTCACTCGGGGACACGGACCCGCCTCTCTTCTTGGGCTGGGTGACATAACGTCTGCCTGGTCCCCCAACCCTCTTTCAGTTGAGTCTAAATGCTGGCTTTCTTTCTAGCCACTCCTGGTGACTCTCCACCCCTGAGATTTGGCCCTTCTCTTGAACTGATCATCTACAGAACTTGGCTCTCTGTCTGCTCCCTCCAACGCATTTCACATTGGGTGGGATGAGTCACCTCTCTTCACCATTTACACAGCACCTTATGCCTGAACATCCATTACCAAGCCTCTTTGTCTGCCTGGAGTTGATACTCTTTAGATTTTTAACATTTACTGTTATTCAGAAGATTGCCCATTGTATTTAACTTCCATTTTACAGGAGACAAAATTGAGTCTCTATGGTGTTATAAACCACCACAGCTAGAACTACAGTTACAATTAAATTATTTCTCTCATTCTTTATTCACATCCTTCTTCACACACTTAAATTCTTCCTAATCCTCCCATTGGTGTTAGTTTTTTAGGGTTACCTTTGTAACACACTGAAAAAGTAGATTTTGGAAAACTTGAAGTTTATATTTCCCCCCTAGAGACTACACCTGAAATTTACCATATTATTTATAGAAACTGTGATCTGGTAGGTCATATGGGTCACCATTACCTCCCAGGAAACTAACAGAGCTCCCAGAATGTCAGAGAGAACACCTGGGCTTGTCAAACAAGGTTGCTGCCACGATCCCCGCATTAGAGCCTGTGCTATTAACAAGAAAGGAGAAAGATCATGAAAAGGGTCTACCTGTGCTTGGTTGCCGGAGTGCAGGGGTGGGTGTGGCGAGGTCTGGTGATGTGCTGGGTGTGCATGAAGGTGGGAATGGGAGTGATGATGTGGGTGGTTCTGCTGGTGATGGGGTTGAGGATGAGGGTGATGTGCTGGGTGCTGGTGCTGGTGCGTGTAGGGGTGATGGGCTGGCAGTGTCTGGTGCTGATGTGGGTGCGAGTGCATGTGATGGTGCGGCGTCTGGTCCTGCCGGGAGCCCATCATTTCCATCATGTGTCCCATGGTGTTCATATTCCCATTGGACATGGCAGCAGGGTGGTGAGTCAACGCGGCCTTCAACCTCTGAAACAGAACAAGACAAGAGGGGACAACTGAGGTCAGTCATGTACACAAAAGGGATTTTGAATCAAAATGACTCATGTTTTCAATTCTATAATATTTCATGGTACTATTGTTAACATTTTTTTTACTGGTAGCAGTATGGCTTTTGTATTAATTTCAATTTCTCATATATATTATAGTAGGTAGGAGGATCAATGTGAGCCATAAATGTTAATTCAACTGTTGCAGCAAATGAGCAAGATACTCTATCGAGATGTAGATGTTCTACTAAAAGGTATTTCCTACTCTGCAATTGTTCATCAGATCCTATTGACAGCCGAATGCAAGTATAAACCAAACAGAACCGTTCAACATGATAATGCCACTGCACAATGGGCGCACCTGATAGGGCCTTGTGTTTTGTAAGGGTCACAAGAATAAAAGATTTTTGCCTTTCAAAAGATTTCTCGGACGAAAAGAGGAAATAACTTCAAATTTTAGAATACAGGAACAGTACTAATGTTATTTCAAGGCTTCAAATTAGATTAGAAATCCATAACTTTTGGAGGCAATATGTAGGTCTCTTCCATTTGTTACCATGACGTTTCTCATCGTCCTTCCTGATAATCTGATTTTTCTTACACAATCACTTTCTTCTGACTTTGGGAAGGAAGTGAGGAAGGTAGAAGAACGTGGAGGATTGTACTTCCACAGCTTCTTTGATGGCCACACCAACAGGCCAGGTATACTCTCACACAAAAGCATTATCCATTAACAAGCAAACAGATACATACACGAATAACTTCTACCTGAATCTAAAGCAGGGGTCAGCACACATTTTCTATAAAGAGTCAGAGGGTAAATATTTTCATCATTGCATGCCTTACAGTCTGTCACAACTACTCAACTCTGCCCTTTTAGTGCAAAAGCAGCTGTTGACAGTACGTAAACAAATGAGCATGCTGTGTTCCAATGTAACTTTATTTAGGGAGAGGAAATCTGAATGAATTGCATATAATTTTCACATGAGATGAAACACTATTCTACTTTTGATTTTTTTTCAATAATTTAAAATAGTAAAAACCATTTTTAGCTCATGCGTTGTGCAAAATTAGGCAGCTGGCCAGACTTGGCCCACGGGCCATCATTTGCTGGCCCGGATTTAAAGAATCAGTTGGTAATCAGCTTAGTCCCAGTTTCTTCAATATTGTTTTTTCTTGTACACAGACAATTATCATCATATCCTGAGGGGCACAATGTGCTAAGTACTGTATAATACAGTTACTTCTTGGAAATGTTTCTTCTGCAGAGATGAGAGTCTGGTTGGCAAGCTCACTTTGGCTTCATGAAGTATTCACTAGGGGACTCAAAGTTCTCCCCTGATTTGTATTCTCATCTGATTGATGATAATGGTATGTAATCACTGTGAAAAGGAAGTTGTATTTAAATGACGATCAAAGCAACCACACTCCGGCCTTGTACAATATTGATGCTTCTCAACCGGTTAGAGTGAACAATTGATAAATACCAGTTCAAGTCATCAAAATCTTTAGTTAAACATAAAGAGCCTCCACTTGTTTAAAAAAAAAAAAAAGCAGGGGAGGTTGGGAGACTATATGTTAATATTAGATAATCATTGAAAACACTTCCTACATCCTGATTCAGTAACCACTGAGCCCACTTGTCTCCTCTTTCTACACAACATCTTCTACACAACAGCTACTGACTTCCATCATGATAATCCTGAAGAAATTAAGCTTCCTGAATTCGTGGGAAAGATTAGATGCTGCGTGTTGAGTTTACTACTAAACAGAAGAGTGAACTAATACTCCTCATCTCCAATTTTTAGAAATGATTTCATTGTTTTTATAAAAATGCTCATTATAAAAATTGAAGTAATGCTTAAAAGTACAATGAAGTCAGCAACAAATGAACCAAATGCATTGTTTACATTTGGTGGGTGACAAGCATTCTGGACAACTCTCTATATGCATTTGCAGAGATGGAGAAACAAGTAGAGTAATTTTATAGCAGTGGGATCATAATAGCATGTGATTGAAAAAGCTCTTATTTGATTATAACATAAGCAAAAGACGTGAAAATCTGAATGAATTGCTGGACTTTAGATACATGTTTCTTTACCCAACAAAAGTTTCTAAATGATATCTCCAAACTTAAGAGTGAAGAAAATTGTGAAAAAGATTATAGTGAAATCATGATGTTTTCTTTTTTAAATTGACATATTGGATAGTATTGATGGACTTTCTAAACTAATCTTTGTAATTTCATTATTATAAAAATATACAGCTGCGTAATAAAAAAAAGTCAACTATTACAAGAATAGGAGGCAAAAAAGTAAAAGCCACCTGCCTATCCCTTCCCCTCTAAGCCCAGTCCCATTCCTCAGATGTAACCACTATGAATCCTCAGACATATCCTCAGCATTTATAAGAATATACTTGTGCAAGCCCTTTTATGACGTATAGTTTTGTATCTTGCTTTTTCTCACTTTAACAATATATCTTCAACATCTTTCTATATCAGTAAAAACAGCTAATGGTAAAAATATTTAATGGCTGGCATTAATTGAGCACTTACTACGTGTCACCCCTCTTTCTATATTTTACAAGTAGTAGCTCACCTAATCCTCAGGAAACCCCGCAAGGCAAAAAGAGAGGTTCAGTCATGTGCCCAAGCTCACGCCATTAAAGAGGGGTGGAGGTGTGCTGCCTCCAGAGCCTGTTCTTAAATCGGAGAGAAGGTGCCAGAAGGCATGACACGTACACTTTGCTGAAAACAGGAATAAACTGTTATGCCACATCCCCATGATCAAAAGGAAAGGCAGAAAGGAGAGAACGGCCTAGAAGAAAATGACAAGATGAGATGCCATTGCTGCATGGTCTAGCCCCCGGTTACTCAGCACCCAATTCGAGATCCAGACACACTCTTTCTGAGACTTGGCAGAGGGAAGGGCAAATGGTAAGAATTTCTAGGAAGTTCAACTGCAACCAAGGATCATCCAGGGCTTAGCGTAATCACCTCCCTTGTTATATTCGTGGAGAACAGATATTGAATTTCCCCCTGGTCTGATAAGGTCCACATATCCCTTCTCCCTGCCCCTACTTCCTAACCCTTGGGTATATGGCCCTTCTGTCTTTCTAATGTTCAGAGGATGAAGGTCAAAGCCCTTAATATACCTATGCATAGGCACGGCGGGGTGTGGCCCTGCCTTCCCGTCAGCGCTTGCTCTTCCCACTCAGGCCACACAGGCTTTTGCATTTGATAGTTTTCTTGCCTAGAATGCTTTTCCCTTCCTCCAGACATTCTACAGCTCTCAGCTCTAAGCTCCTCTTTAGTAAAATTCTCCCTGGTCTCCTGGTCTAAATCAATTCCTGTTGTTACAAAGTCCCAGTAGAACCATATTCCTCTTTTTAAAATTCAGTTTGTAGTTATGATTTTTAAAGTATAATTGTTCAATTAGCCACCAACCATCCCAGATTGTAAGTGTCATGACAGCAGGAACCACGCTAGATTTTGCTCAGTGTTAAATTCACAGCTTTAGCGCAGAGCCTGGTGCATATTAGGCACCGAATTCATACTTTTGGAAGGCACTAAAAGTTTTAATGAAATGAATGAGTGAAAGAAATTTCTGAGGCTTATTATGAGGATGCTGCATTGTCATCTTGGCTCTCTGCAGGTGGCATTTGTAAGAGAGGATGATTTTATCAGTTCACCAAGCTCAGCAGAATCAACTTCAGAAGTCATGCAGGCAGATGGGCTGTAAAAGTACTGACTGTCAAAAGAGCTGCTGGCTCCATACCCTGCCTGCCCTCGAAAAAATGATAACAGAAAGAAGAAAACATAAATAAACAAAAGAAATGTGCATTAACTTCATCTTGATGTATTTTCCCTGAAAATGTGGCATGAACAATTGAAAAGCTGTTTAGGAGTGGGCCACTCTGTTATCCCTTCAATGCTACAAACAACTTTTCCACCTTTAATTAGGAGCAAATGGAGCCTGACAAATAAATACTATGCACCAGATCTTCATCTCTCAAATAATTAGCTTGTACTGTTAAAGGAAATTACTTGATTGCTTCAAGTCTATTCTTGCATGGTTCACATCAAGACAACAATACTAGTAAGGCTTATAACATTCCATTTAACTGTTTATTCACTCAACAAATATTTATTGGGCATAGAGTTAGGCACATAATTATTTGCCCACTACCCAAAGGAAATGGGAGACACATGAAACCGAAGCTTTTTCAAAGCGCTGGAGAGAAAAAATACACTCAAGTGTGGAAATGAAGACTTTCAAGCACCCCTTAGAGAATCTCAGGCCTTTGGGTTGAGTCCACCCTCCAAGCATCAGCCTATGTCATCTTTGAAGGAAAGCGATGAAGATAAATGATTATCGCGCTGCTCTGCATATGCCACATTTAATATTCTCCATGTCATTTCTAAACAGTTTGGGGCACTTCTCAAAGTCCTAAAGAGTCTACTGCTTCCCTGTATCCCGGTGCCAACAAGAGTCATTGCACTGTAAATCATTAAAATATACCAAATATAGATATTTGTACCCCACTCTCTTAGGGATGATAAATGACCAGTAAATGAGTCCAAGCTGTATTTTGCAGAATGATTTTTCTTTTTGAAGCTGAACTGTGTCTTGTTTTAAATAACATTCTACCCAATGCCAAGAAAAGGCAAAGGAGAGAGAGAGAAATTAATGAGCAAGTAAACATATATTTTTCAGCTATAAAAACCAGGGCTATTACTGAGGTGGGAGTGCAAGAAAGAAAAAATGATTCTGTTTACTTTCTATCGTCCTCAACCACATCCATTTATTTGAGAGCAAATCAGGAGAGACAGGGAGAAGCCTGACACAGCTGGTTTCAGTCATTAGGGGTCATTTTCATTTGGTCCGTGTATTTTACAAGCTCCTTGTTCACCGTTCCCAGTGGGAGGGTGGGCCTGCTGCCCGGGATCTGCGTCCTGGTAAGAAACCAGCTATCTCC